TAGATAGATATGAAAAGCCACAGATAGATAGATAGATAGATAGATAGATAGATAGATAGATAGATATGAACAGCCATTATATACATTTTAAGATAGATAGATAGATAGATATGAATAGACAGATACATACATACATCAATATGAACATCCATAGATTGATAGATAGATAGATAGATAGATAGATAGATATGAACAGCCATAGATAGATAGATAGATAGATAGATAGTAGATAGATATAAACAGACATAGATAGATAGATAGATAGATAGATATGAACAACCATAGATAGATAGATATGAAAAGCCATAGATAGATAGATAGATAGATAGATAGATAGATAGATAGATAGATAGATATGAACAGCCATAGATAGATATGAACAGCCATAGATAGATAGAAAGATAGATAGATATGAAAAGCCATCGATAGATAGATAGTAGATAGATATAAACAGACATATATAGATAGATATGAACAACCATAGATAGATAGATATGAAAAGCCATAGATAGATAGATAAATAGATATGAAAAGTCAGAGATAGATAGATAGATAGATAGATAGATAGATAGCTAGATATGAACAGCCATAAATAAATATGAACAGCCATAGATAGATAGAAAGATAGATAGATATGAAAAGTCATAGATAGATAGATTGATAGATAGATATGAACAGCCATTATATACATTTTAAGATAGATAGATAGATAGATAGATATGAATAGACAGATATATAGATACACCGATATGAACATCCATAGATAGATAGATAGATAGATAGATAGATAATGAACAGCCATAGATAGATAGATAGATAGATAATGAACAGCCATAGATAGATAGAAAGATAGATAGATATGAAAAGCCATAGATAGATAGTAGATAGATATAAACAGACATAGATAGATAGATAGATAGATAGATAGATAGATAGATAGATAATGAAAAACCATTGATAGATAGATATGAAAAGCCATAGATAGATAGATAGATAGATAGATAGATAGATAGATAGATAGATAGATAGATATGAAAAGCCATAGATAGATAGATAGATAGATAGATAGATAGATATGAAATGCCATAGATAGATAGTAAATAGATAGATATAAACAGACATAGATACATAGATAGATAGTAGATAGATAGATATAAACAGACATAGATACATAGATAGATAGATAGATAGATAGATAGATAGATAGATAGATAGATAGATAGATAGATAGATAGAAAATAGAGTGAGAGGCTAATCGATTGAAAGTAAGTGATTAGCTGAAATAGAAAAGAAAATATATCCAAATAAAGAGACAATCAAAACAGGCTGAGGAAAACAAAATGTGATTATGATGTATACGGCCAAGAAAGAAAGAATGAATTATAAGCATAAAGACAAACAGAATGAAAATGTAGAGGGGGGAGAGAGAGGGGGAGAGGGAAGGGGGGAGAGAGTGGGGTGGGTGAACAAAAGACGAAAAAAAAAAACTGACGGAAAGAAAAAACAGAAAGATTGATAAAAAAAAACAAGAAGGACGTTTCAATCCTGACAGAAATAAAGACAAAAGAAGGAAAAGGTGAGAGAAAAGAAGGAAAACTAAAGTGAAGAAAGAAAATGTCGAATCTGAAAGAGAAGGAAAAACGATGTTTATAGAAAGAGGGAAAAGGAAGGAAAAAAATAGAGAAATGCGTGAGAAAAACGAGCGAACAATCAAATGGTAACAAAAATTAACAAGTAAACTATGTTTATTTAACTTGACTGAAGCTGATTTACCTCCCTTGATTACATTTTATTGGGCGATTATGAATGAAAGCGTGTCACTTCAAATTCAGGATCAAATTAGCTAGAGAACAACATAAATAATAACACATCGAATAGATAGATAGATAGATAGATAGATAGATAGATAGATAGATAGATAGATTATATGACCTTAGATAGAAGGAAACAAAGAGTAACGGAAGGAGTGTAAGAGAGAGAGAGAGAGAGAGAGAGAGAGAGAGAGAGAGAGAGGGAGAGAGATGTTGTGTATCTTTGTAAGAGAGGAAGAGATATCCGGCAAGGACTGAGGGGAGTTGTGTAGGGTTTGTTTTTATAAGCGAATTTTGTACAATCTATGACCTTTCTTGAAGGATTACTTGGTTGTCGATATCCGTGGCAGCTGACATGCGTGCGAATGTCAAAGACATAAATCTCTCTCAACAACAGAATCAGAGCCGTAAAAACACACACAAGTGTTAATCAGCAATTGGAACAAAAGCGCTAGTCATATGAATACAACCTTTATGACTATAACAACATTGTCAGTCAGAAAAACAAAAGTCCATATATTTATTGTTTCGACTTGTGCTATCAAATGAATATGCCAGATCAAATAATAAAAAGTTGAGTGCAATGCCAGGGATTTTTTAAGTAAATTTTATCCAAAACAAGGCCCGAAAACCACTTAAGTGAAAGCGTTACAATCAAAATGATAATTATGAATGAAGTGTTTGATATAAAATATATCTAATAATAATAACACATCGAAGAGATAGATAGATAGATAGATAGATAGATAGATAGATAGATAGGGATAGACAGACAGTTGGACTGATAGATAGATAGATAGATAAGAATAAAAGATTTTGAAGAGATAGATAAGAATAAAAAGTTTCTGAATAGATAGATAGATAAGAATAAAATGATTCTGTAATAGAGAGATAAGAATTTGTGGATTATTTAAAGCCGTATCCTATTTTGGATTATAGGAATAATTCTTTTTGGGCAAAGAATATTAAATGAACAGTGTTTGCGAATAACAACGTCCTATTATTAATGGCTGGAGGAGATCAATTCATATCTTTCTCAAGAGTATTCACGCCTGAGTGAATATAAAGAATCTGACTGGAATTCGAACTCTGCCCTCTGATTTCTCAATCGGAGCTGCTACCCATTACACCACACGCACACCCTTAAGCAGTTGAGGCGGATAGACGATTGACTTTTAACTTGTAGAGTTCAAGATTGTCGTGTCCGGGGAGGCATCCACGTGGGATTCTGTTTCACAATGTGGCATTTCCTAAAAAAATCTGTCTGTGAAATATTTTTCTTACATTTAGAAAACGGAAGAAATAAGAGAGGTTCGATTCCAAGGAAACTGCGAAGGTCTGAAATGGTGGAACTAAAAAAAATTGAGTTTAGCTGAAGATTTGGCATGGAATAGCAATAGGGAATTTTCCTCTGTGGGAAACGGGTTGCAGGGTGGAAAATATCCCTTCTTCAACAACACTGTGTGAACGATTTGTCAAATTTAAAAATTGATGATTGAACATCTCTATCCCAAATATGGTGATAATACTCTAGTTTGGGTCAAATCTAACTCGTGGAAAGATTTCATGCCAGAACTGACGACCATTATTCGTTAGACATTCTCAAAAAAAAAAAAAAGAAAAAAAAAGTAAGTCGAGAAATTAAGAAAAAAAAATGGTTTCATTGGAAGTGTTTATTCTTTTGGCAAACATAAACTTACCCGCAATAAGACGGAGTGTCAAAACGACGTTTTTTTCCCATGACACCGTTTTTATTACATTTTTTTTAACTACAATCATTGTTCTTTATTGATTTAAAAAGCGATGATTAGAATTGTAATAAAATCTAAACATATGAAAGTGAATTTATATATTTTCTTTCTTTTTAAGAATTGACAATAAAATATAAACATTATTTATTTATTAGATCGTTTATTTACATTATTAATTTGCGATATCGTTTATTGGAATCATTGACAAAAAAAATCGATTCGAACTTTATAAAATGATAAATAATAAGGATTTCATATTTTAATAATTTAGTAAATGTTTATAAATTTATGAATAAAAATTGTTTTCACATTTATTTCTTTATAAATCGGTAAATTGCATTAGTTTTTGTATTGTGTTGTAAATATAAAATTATTCTTGTAAATAAATAATATTATTTTTATAAGCTTGTCCCGAGTTCCACAAGTATTCAATAACTGACGAAATTCTCCTTTTACACCGTAACATATTTGATCTTAACAACTTTAACGAAATATTGAGATAAAAATCCTAAATCGGAATGCATACCGTTATTTAAAGACGTAAAAAGAGTAAATGAAAAGATTTTGATGTTGCGAAGTTTTTTCATTTCACTGAAAAGTTAAACATAAGTTCCAATATCTTCCCTTTCTTTCTTTCTTTCTTTCTTTCTTTCTTTCTTTCTTTCTTTCTTTCTCACTGAAACTAAACAGCGTCACTAATTTGTCCTTTCCGTCTTTCCTCGTTATTAAAATGTGATACTTCATTATTTATGAGTAATTGTCAGTGCGTGCTAACTAAGAAAGCAAGGAACAGGCAGAATTATTATCTTTGTTGATGTTATTATTATTATTATTATTATTATTATTGTTGTTGTTGTTATTATTATTATTATTAAAAGCTGTTTACTCCCACGATGTTTGATTTAAACAAATAAAGGGAGCAGTGAACTTTCACATATTTCTCATACTTCATCACAACCTTGGCGTATGGATTGAAACATTGCCAATTATTTTGTTTCGAGCATCACAAAGATATGCTATTTATCTTTGTTTATCGTGCGAGAAGACGCGTAAAAAATACTACGGTATTTGAGATTATTTTTGTCACAGAGTAAATTTTACTTTTATCAAAATTTCTCGATAAAAACAGATTATCTAGGTATCTCCATCGAAAATATTCAATCTTGTCGATAAATATTAATTAAAATTTAAAAAATTAGTTTTTACATTTTTTATTTATTTCCACAGCAAACATAAGATCCGAAATTTTCGCATTGCAAAGAAAAAAAAACGACATTTTTAATCAATAAATATAGAATTAAATGGATATAAATTTTCCCTTGAATCGGCAATAATTCCAATGACCGCTATCTGGTTGACAGAAACTCGATACTGCCAATAAATAAAAATAAAAATCTATCAAAAATAAGAATAATCGTAATAGCGAAACAATTTTCTGTTAAAGACTTACTTTAATCTTTATTTGATTTAACTACACCAAAAAATTACCAAATTTTTATCTTAAAAAACATAAAAAATGTATTTTCATAACATCGATGACTTGCCTCAGTCAGGAATAAAAGAAATACGTTTACTATTTTTTTGGTCAGATTTTCTTCACTTTTGCGAAAGAATATTTTCCAGAATTAACTTTTTAAAAATAATGATTGTTCTTTTTTTTTTTTTAAATAGCTTGCAAAAATTATTATTATCTGTTTTTTTTAACGGACCACCATAAACGAAAACGATTCAATCTCGAGTTGTCGACACGAATTTGCGTCGCTGTCAGTCAGCGTGACTGAGGTGAGTTATCAATGTTATAAATTATTTAATAGTTTATTTTTCAAGGACTTGTCTTTAAAAGGGATAAACATTAAAGAAATCAGCATCGATATACAATCAAAAATCATCAAATGGAAAAAGGAGAAGGAGTGTAATTGCGCTAAAATATTTTTTTCTCTAAAATTTTGCTTTCTCTTTCACTTTCAGATAAATGTTTTATCAAAATCCAGTAATTACATGAATTTTGGAAGATTCATAAAATTGACAAGCCAATAAAAAGCAATAATATTTGTATAGGGACAAAGTAAACAAACGCAAAAATCTGCGATTCTACTTAAAATCTATAAATACTGATGATTTTTTTTCTATTTGTCCAAATTTCGATTAGTAGAACATGAAAAACGATCATACAATTAAATTTTATACATCCTTCATAGCTCTGTTTTATACAGACGATTAATTTTTCTGCCATTGGAAATACCTATTATTAAGAAAACGGGATATAATTAACTGTTAATTGATGTTAATTATTAACATCGATCAAAATCCAAAATGTTATGTAAATAAAATAACGCAAACAAGTTGCAAGGGAAATAACTCTAACAATATTCTATATTTATTCCCCTTGTGTTGAAAAACGGACTATTATTAAAATGTTGCTAAACTTTTTAATTAATCAATACACGAAAAAATTATTCATTGAATTTTAATTTTTATTCTTAAAATTCTAATTCTAATTGTAATAAATACATCCAATGGCTAAATAAATATTTTCTGATAGGAATTCACGAAGACTTTAAAAATATTATCTGTTCTGCTTTATTGACGTGAAAACTATTAAAGTCCTTCCAAGCTGAGAGTCTTGTCAGGTTATACATGTAAATTACAGAATTTATTTGTATTTCTTATATTGCCTGAAATTTGAAACATCTATCAATCAATGTTTATCAAAATAACATAATATCGCTCTATGTAAATTACATATTGTATAAAAGGCTGTATCGCTATACCAACGGAGGAGTTATTTTCTCTTGACGAGACTACAGGTGGCAAAGAGAATACTTATCATAACAATATGGTGTCGCCGATCAGTTACTTAACCACGATGGAGGATACTGAATATGCGCAAACCTAGCTTAGGTGTTTTGCATCGTTGGTGAAAAAAAAATTAATGGAGACCAAAGTTAGTGGAGGAGAAAATGAAGTTACTGATTTGTTTTTGGTCTCAGTGGGGCGTAAAGTCATAAAAAATCTTTGTCATGGTCTATCACATAGTGTTAGAAGCGCATGAAGAAATTGCTGACATCATGAAAGCAAATGTAGAACCCCCCCACCCCGCAAAAAAAAAAAAACAATGATTGGTTTTAGCGGAAAGAAGTAAATTTCTCAAAAGGAGACTGAAACTGGACGAAACTATTATACAATATGTACAGCGATTGAAAGAAACGTCAAGATATTGTGAATTCGAAAGAATGGGTTCGGAAAAAAAGTCTATCGAAGACGAGCTAATTTTGCTAAGACTGATTGAAGGAATATTTGACATCTCGTACAAATGTAAAATTCTAGAGTGGTTCAAGCTCTTAATATGAATTTCGAAGCATGTGTAGAAGTCTTACAACAATTGGAATTGATTAAAAAATTTAATGCCTCCAAAAGTATCATGGAGACTTAGAGTGCTACTAAAAACCTATTTGTATGCAGATATTGCAATAAGGAACATGAAAAGAACAAAAATAAGTGTCCAGTCTTTGGGAAATGGTGTTTTAAGTGTAAAAAGAGGAATCATTTCCAGACAGTATGCACATATAAAAAGTGAGTGGAAAATATATATCCTCCAATTGAAAGTATGGAAGTATTTGAGATAAAATCACAGGATAAAAATAGGGAAATGGTGAAGATGAACGGAGTAACTTTACTCATCCAGGTGGATACTGGAAGTGATGATACATTGATACTGAGGAATTTTGGGGAAAAAATAGTTAGACCAAATGTTAAAGAAAAGTAATCTTCAATTGAAACAGTTCTATGGGTCAATCATCAAAATTTTAGGATGCTTTGAAGGCACATTTGAGACAAAAAAAAAGATTGGAGATAATACCCATTATAGGTAAAAGGAAATAGAACTGTGGAGACGAATACATATGGATCATGTCTACATTAAAGTTATAGGACTATTTCTGATATCAGTCGAATCGAATTCAAGTTGGCGTTAAGTTATTAAAGTCGCGGATAAAAAAAAGTCATTAGTGTGAAGCGGGTGTTGAAGATAGTGTTTTTGCGAAATGGAATTCCAAAAATCTTGGTCTCCGACAATGTACCTGAGTTTTGTGAAGAAAGTTTATGTACATGGTTAAAACGTATTGACTGCTTTTCATATGTGACGTCACCCTGAGCCTGCTCCCGTGCTATCCTGTGATAATCTAACCCTTGGCTGATTCGGATTGAAATCTGGTTAGATTCGGCATCAGCTTTATCGTTCCAAGCTCGCCTCCAACGTCTGGTTACCGAAGTAACTGCTTTGATTTTTAGTCTAACCTACCTACGTTGTGATTTGATCTTAGGTAGACGAAATCAATCAGGCGTCGGGCCGTAGTGCAAGCCGAATCCGGAGCAAAGGTGATACCGCACAAGTATATGTAAAAGAAAATAAAGTAAAAACTCAAAAGATTCAAATGTGTTAAAAAAGAATAACAAGTGTCTTTATATCTGGTTTCTGAATACAGGACAGCGTCTTTCTCCCAAACCGCTTCTATGGATTCGTGACACTTTGCGTTTCTTAGGCAGGCGAGTCTTAATATCTTAAGTTGTTTTTCAATAAACTGGTTTTTGGTATCTTCAGTTGATATTCGTAAAACTTGTTTTGGTGGTGTGAGTCTAAGTTGGTCTTAAAAAAATGTTTTTGATTAGACGTCTAAGTCGGAATGCGTGGAAATCTTTCAGTCAGCTCCTGCGAGGCTGGTCTCCGAGCTCACAGCTCAACTCCAACTCAACTCTGTGACTCTAACTGTCACCAACTGTATTGTGACTGTGACTGCCTTTTTACTCTGGGGACGTTCGTTTATATGGACGCCGACCAAAACCGGGTGGGGGCCTGTCGTGGTTTGGATTCCTCGATAATTCCAAATCCGCAATAAGGATTTTCTTTGTTTTCGGACAGGAAAATTTATCACTTCCCATTTTTGGAAGTCAATTACTTTCTTTTTAGAGGGGTTCTTAAGGGAATTGTCCTCCTAAATTCTTTCTTTCTCATATTGGTATCTCACACCAATCCCCTCAGAGGGCGTCAACAGGTTTCCCTTCTTTCTCATATGTTTACCTTCGCTCATCGCTCAAGCCACCATTAAGCCAATGAACGCTCGGCAGCGTGGGTGTGGCTAGACTGACCTCAGTTTACAATTATCGCCCAAAGAAAAAAAAAATTATCTTCTTTTTTCTTTTCTTTATTTTCCATCGATCAGAACCACCACGAATCGTACTGTGGACATTAAATCTTTATCTTAACTTGATGTCATCTGGGATTCATTAACGAGATTTTCGCCGAGTTATTATCTGGGTGGTCAACTGAATCTCTTTGTCTTCCTCAACATCATCGTATTTTGTCGCGAACAGTCTGTCCAGGTAACAAACTTTTATCATGGCAAGTTCTGGACATACAACAGGTGGCTCCTCTTCCAAAACCAAATGATATCTCCGAAAGATAGTTAATGGCTTATTCTTTTTTTTCTCTCTTCTTCCTTCCTTTTTCTTTGGGGTGGTCTCACCTAATTCTTTCTCGGTCGCATGCTTGACTCAATTTTTGATTATCTTCTAGCATTCTGCTTTGTAAGCCTCTTGGCCAAATTGAAATTTTCTTTATTTCCATGGGGAGATTGCTATCTTTTTTCCGCATTCTGCTGTTCCTCGTCGCGTCATGGCATAAATTAATTCTGACCGATCCGAGATCTTACGAATTTTCTATCTTCTGCGAAAAAAAAATACCTTCGCAAATGAAAATAATTTTTCTTTTGTTAAAAAAATAACATCGCTCAGTATGTCTTTCGTTATAGCTTCTTCTCGCTTTAAGTATTTCTCGCTTTTAATTTCCATGCTTAATTAGTTAGCCTAACACTAAATAGTGTCACACATACAAAACACCACCTTACCACCAACAGTCAAATGGAATTGTGGAGAGAATGGTTCAAATGGTAAAAATGGGATTAAAAGAATTCTTTCCAGTGGATTGTGATATAGAGAGTTATTTACCCAGACTACTTCTAAGTTATAGAGCTACTCCACATGCAGGCAGAAGACAAAGACCATCCTCATTGATGGGAAGACAAATAAGAGCTCCAATTACTATGTCATTTGCAATGAATTAAAGCATGTGGTACAGAAAGGACAAAGATTCAAGTGGTAAAAATGGGATTTAATGCAGTGATGTTAACAAAAAAAGGGACAGGGCATACTGGCTCTTGAAGACCAATTTAGAACCACAAGAGAGCATGAAGTTATGGAAAAGGAGGAGGAAGAGGAAGCAGAAAACAGATGATGCAAGAAAAGATGAATGAATCCACTAGTGAGTGTGATCAGGAAGATCACCAGAGATATGAAAGTGAAGAAAAGGAGGGGGAGGAGAGAACGAGCGTATCCAGTAGTAGTGAGAAGCAATCTGGGAATGAAAGTGACCAGAGATATCATGATGATTCAAATGAAGAGAATCAGTTAAGACCTAAATTTCCCATAAAAAGAAATGAAAAGACTCACTCTGAGAGACGGATTATGTCACCCAGGGTTACTCAGGGTGGTGTAGATATATGTAAATGAAGTACTGAATAAAAAGCACTATCATTCTACGTGCAGGAGAGTTATCTTCTCTTGATGAGACCACATCTCTCAGAAAGAATACCTATCATAACACAACCTACAATATCTGAGGATGAGTGACCAGAGATATCACGATGATTCAAATGAAGAGAATCAGTTAAGACCTAGATCTCCTATATAATGAAATCAAGAGACTCACCCTGAGAGACGGATTATGTCTCCCAGGCTTGTTCGTAGAAATCACAGATCAAATAAAGGCATAAATCCTCTTAAGTTCCGGGAACTGTAGAGATGTAAATTACGTAATGTATAAAAGTATAGCTATACCTACAGGAGAGTTACCTTCTCTTGACGAGACTACATCTGCCAGAAAGAACACTTATTATAACAACCGCTTTATTAGATAGTAGGCATCCGTTCATCTCGCGAGATAAGGGTAGCGTCCTCTTTGGTCGAAATTCAGTACTTTGGTATTGAGACTAGAGTGGTCTCTCCAGGGCGCCGGCTTTGGCGATGGTATATGGAGGCTGTATGCTGGCATTTCTAGTTGGTCTTGCAGGTTTCAGAAATAAAAAGAAACCTACTTAACAAGAATGATAAAATGAGATATACTAAAAACAATCAAAATAATTAAAAAAAAAAAAACCCAATCAAAAAACCTAAAACACATATTAACATATATAATACAAGAGGTCACAATAAAAGATGTGGGGTTTGTGATATAATTATAGAAGGAAACTCCTACACTTTTTAAAACCCCCAAAACAACATTCACAATAAAGAAAAACTTAAACGGTAACTCCAAAAATGTAATTTATACAATCAGGTGCACAAAATGCAACAAATCTTATATAGGTATCACTGAAGCACGAATCATTAGAGTCTCCTTTCGCAAAAGCAACATTAAATTACCAGGCAACAGAAAAATCTTTGTGTCACAACATATCCACAAATTCAACAAGGGTAACTTTAAAAATTATGCCAATATATCAAACAAACGATTACTCTTACCTCCAAATACAAGAAAAAATTCTTCATAGACAAATTTAAACCAGCACTAAACAAATCATAACCTCACACTCATAAACACAAACCATATACATATAGTGGCAAAACACACTAGTCAGACCACACACACACACACAACCAAATAAACACACACACACGCACACACACACACTATACGAATTACATGCATTTAGTAGGTAGGTCATAATAATATAGTATATAATATATAAGTATGGAAAACGAATACCGGCAAAAACAAACACATTAGACGGACCACACGCACACACATGAACCCTACATACCGTACAAAATGTATAAATATATACTATATAGGTTTCCTTGTAATAATGCAAAATATGTATTAATGAAGAAAGAATATATACATACTGTCAAAAAGACACACACACATACACATAATACTAAAGATTAGAAGAAAGAATGAAAAGATATACGGGGACATAAAAAAGATAAGAACATAAGACATCCTTTTTTCTTTCCCTTTCTCTGGCCAAATTTAATTGTTTTATTGCCCCTCAAGCAAAGGAACATCCAAGATGGAGTCAGATGACTACTACTATGCATAAAAGACAATGTTTAAAAGATTTAACATAGGAAGGAAAAAATTAATTCCCTTAAATAATATGTGTAAATAACCATTCTTTGTCTGATGAAGGTCACAAACTCGAAACTCGTGCAGCAAAATATATCGAATAAAGTATTTTTACAAAAATTCCAGATTAGTAAAGTTAATGATATAAAATGGCGAAATCCTTTCGCAAACCAAATTTTAAAGGTGCATTAACCTAAAAATCACTCGATGAATGTTATGATCCTTGTTTTTAATAATTATAAGCTGTATAAAGTCTGAATGATTCATTGTAATATAAATTGTACTGCACCACATATTTGATAAATATATATGTATATTTTACACACACACACACACACACACACATTATTACCTGTACTATATATATATATATATATATATATATATATATATGTATGTGTGTGTGTGTGTGTGTGTGTGTGTGTGTGTGTGTGTTGGCATTACTCAACCGATATGGTCGATCGTGGTCTCCACAATTTCTTGTTTTTTTACTGATCTAAAGACATTGTCTTTATTATGTTTGTTCTTCTGGCCATTTTTTCAAACTCTCTAAAGGTTATTTTCTTTTTTCTCTTGTTTCCTTTGTCATTAATATGTCTTCTTTCTTAATTATGTCTCTTCAGAATGTTATATGTTTTATTTCTAACTGTAATTTCTATTCTCCTTAAAACCTGTTCGTTCCTCACATAGAATTATTGCGGTTCGTTGTTAGAATCCCCTATGTGTTGTTTTAAATCTCGTCTCTACATTTGTGAGCAAATTTTTTATCATCCACTTCTATATAGAAGATTGGATATTATATTCTCTTTTCTTATCTCTTAATATTTTGCTTCATTTCTTTAAAACTTCTTTTGCTAGTCCTATACGCATCCAGGTTGATGAATCAAATTTCTATCGTCTGATATTACACTATCCAGGTTTGCTGGGATATTAGACTTTTTACTTATTTTCCAAAGAAAAATTGTCATAAAAATACTTCCCGCTTATTATATACGTCGTTAAAGCAATTGGTTAATGTTTACACATACATCATGCTAATATTTATACAAAGCCTAGCTCCATAATACTGTAATTTAAAATTTAAATTGGGAGATAGATATGTTATCAAAAACACACTAATATTGTATTGCTAGAAAGAAAGTTATGTGCCATGCGTGATACACGCTTAGGTGATTATGTATCTTTCGATACATAACTGATGAGGCAGATTTTTTCCCGCAGTAGGTTGCCATTTCTTTCTGCGGTAGACCAGTTGCAATTCAATGTTATATAACCCGGTCTGTCCTGCTATTTACCCATAGCTGGTGTGAGAAGAAGATGATTCATACCTTTCCCAATTCGAACTCGGCTCTCCGATTCCTCAATCCGAGTCTCTATCTTTAATATTAGAAAAATGGAAGTTACTTTTAAGTGTAATCTATTCTAAGGGAGGTAACTTTTGTATTCGTATAATCTCCCTTTGGTTCTTTAGATATTTCCAACTTTTTAATTAAGAAAATGTCTCAAGAAAACAGAAGTATTCGTCTGTTTGTTTTTACTAAGTAACTTTTTTTTAATTATTAATAATAACATCTCTAAAAATCAGTGATCAGAACAAAAGTTTGAATCAGTCGAATAATTCAAAATAAAGCAAAATTATTCACAGCGATAGGAATCCGTTGTTATAGCCAAATGTAAACCATCTGACGTTGGATTAAAACGGTATAAAAAAAAAAAGAAAAGAAAAGCAAACCAGTTACTAGACATACTGTACAGGCCTCGGTTAATCAAGTCCTGTTTTCATCAAATGGTCATGAATTCAATTTTCAAATTGGGAACTGAAAAAGTTAAATCCATATATAGTTGTTTAGTTGGAAGAAACAATATATCAGATGGAGAAAATAACAATTCTAGGTCAGCTGCTAAGAAACATCGTTCACTGTGTTGTGCTAGATAATTTTTCTCTCTCAAAACTATCTTGCATATCTATATATCTACCATCTATCTATACTTAGAATATTGCTGCCATATATGGTCCAGTGCTCCTATTATATATTTAAAGATTCTTGATAAATACCAAAGAAGATTCAGTAATATTATAGGTCCTTACCTGGTGATTCGGCTTCATTCACATTCCCATTGCCGTAAAGTTGATTCTCTGTACCTTTTAAATGCTTTCGGGGTAACTGTTTGGATGGAATCTTCGCTAGGGTAACTAAACTTTATGAATTTAAACGCAGTACTAGATTGGCAGCAAGTTCTCGCCAAATTTACATTTGAATTGGCTAGATGTAATCGTAAGTTCTATGCTAACAGTTTCTTTTCTCGCAGAAACAATAATGTTTCTGTTTCTAATTATTTCACACACATTAATCCCTTGTGTCAGTGGCTTTATTGCTTTATTTGGAGTAAATTCGATAAAAAAATACACACAATTGTCAATTACTCTCAGTAGGTAATTGGCCAAAACGTTTTGTTTATAATAATCTTCTATAACAAAAATGTAAAAAGTCGTGCAAATAAATTAAACAGTTGAAAGAGTATCGACAATTTGTGTCAAATATTATCATCTATAAACTAATAAAGGGAAACTACTCAGTAAATGCCTTTGGTTTACCATTAATTACCTCCCTTATAAAGCGGCACATTCAGAATTTGCTCAAATGTAGATAGTTGACTATTTTGAAATTGCAAAAGAGAGAAAAGGAATTTATTCGCCAACACCATCAATAAATAATTGATTTTTTAAAAAGACCTTTTTAAGAGTTTACAGTTTTAACCACAACAAGAATCTCGCTAATATAAACATTTTTTCTGCTTTATGATCATAGACATGATAGATTATGATTTTTATGATCATAGACATGATAGATTATGATTTTTATGATAATCATAGACATAGTCAGTTGTGTGCCATGCGTTATACACACCTAGGCAGATTTTTCTCGCAGTAGGTTCCCATTTCTTCTGCGGTAGATGAAATCCAAGGCTATAGAACCCAGTGTAGTGCCACGCCTACATTTTCTCGAATTCTCATTGGTTAATAAATACATGATACTTATTATAGGACAATTTAACCATCGCAAGTAATTCGAATTTTTCTCTAAAATCACGGATTGGTCCATTTCCTGACCAATCGCGTATTTTAGTATCTTTTCTATATTTCTGGCGCTAAGCTATCCGGAGCCTACCCATCGATATAAAAGAATTTCGCTATCAACCAAACCACCAGTTGCAGTTCAATTCTTGGAAAATAAGGCACGGCGCTATATTGACA